GCGGACTTTCCGTAATTTGCTTTCGCGCGCCGCGCGCTACCAATCTACCCGACGACGCGCTTTTTGATTTCTTTGGATGATAAAATATAGAGTGATTAATCGCAAGATTGAGCGTAATCAACGCGCTTATCTTATCGTTTATCTTCGCCCGGATGTATAGTTTCCTGTTCCTTTGTGCCGCTCCTGCGCGAGGAGGAATTGTGTTTTTTAATTGTGCGGAATATTAATCGGAGTCGAGTTACTCAGAAGTACAAATCTAATCTATCTGTGATTGAAATCAAGTAATCTGTAGTAAAAAATTGAGAGGCGCCAAGAAATTGTGCGCATCAAGCTTTCAAATAAAGATTAAATGAAGAGTGTGATTTTTAATTAATTATTGATATCTGTTTAAGTAGATAATACCGTCAGCTTTTCATCGATTCGATCATCTTTTTCTTTGATTACAGAAAAAAATTACGTGCTAGCTTGAGAATATGTACCGTAATAAAAATCATTCTAGGATTATATGCTACATTTTTATACGCAGACATCAGTTTTCAATAATTTTAAAATTTAATTATTTATAAATAATTTTACGATTCTGATAAAAATATTTTTCAAAGACATTTTATTAAAAAAAAATACTAGGTATGATTAAAAAATCGAAATTCAGTCTGTTCACTAAAATGCAAAATAAAAATATTTAAGAGAGAAAATTTCCACGAGTGCTATTTGAAATCTTCGCCTTCCTTGAAACTTTCCAATTTAACGTGAAAGAATTAAGATTATCGCATATTATAAATTGAGCTATAATCCTTGAATGAAATAATGATCGAACACTGTAATTAATTTTACTTAATCTAAGTAACTTATCCTGAGTTATTCTATTTTTATTTCTCGTCGAAATATAAATCGCACGGAGAGATTGTCATATCAAGATACTTCATTTGACTCACCATATTGGCTTCTTGGCCGAAAATCGGAAAATGTCTCCTTTCCTCCCTCGATCGCCATCAGCTCGACGGTCGTCCTCGTCTCGTAGACGTCTTGAATATCCACAAAGTCATTATCCATCGAAACGTCTCACACACACACACATATACACTCGCGACGCGACGAACGCAATGGACGCGACGCTACGTTCACGCGATTCCCGAAACGCGACACTTGCGACCCGACGCCACGCTACGTTCACGCGATTCCCGAAACGCGATGCTCCGCGGCGCTCGTCCCGTTTCGCGAAAATTTGATCGCCGTCCGCGACGACTTCCACGGCGTCGGGAGATCCTCGGCTGCTCCATCCTCGGTTGCTCCATCCTCGGATGCTCCATTCTTTTGACGAAGAACTACCTTGTCGATTCGCGAAAATTTGATCGCCATCGGCGACGACTTCCACGGCGTCGGGAGATCCTCGGCTGCTCCATTCTCGGTTGCTCCATCCTCGATTGCTCCATTCTTTTGACGACAAACTATCTTGTCGATTCGCGAAAATTTGATCGCTGTCGATGACGACTTCCACGGCGTCGGGAGATCCTCGGCTGCTCCATCCTCGGTTGCTCCATTCTTTTGACGACGAACTACCTTGTCGATTCGCCATTTTTCAATCAATTTCCGTACGCAAGCGACACGACGCGACGCCGCGAGAAACCGAGCCCGCTCCGTCTCGTCTCGCGAAAGTTTGGCGTCCGCGACGACTTCCACGGCGTCGGGAGATCCTCGGATTCGTCTTCGGGTCCGTCCTCGGGCTCATCCTCGGCTGTTCCATCCTTCTGCCGACGAACTACCTTGTCGATTCGCGATTTACAATCAATTTTCAAACGTAATCGATACGACGCGACGCGGCGACGCCGGAAGCGACTCGCGATCTATTGCAGTGTGCCAACTGCTCAATAGTAAAATTGATTACATGCACCGCCCTGCACTGTCCGCTGCATGCTAAGTACACGAAATCGCGTGTTCGCGTTGATTGCCGAAAAACCTAACCCCGCTCCGTCCCGTTTGGCGAAAGTTTGGCCGGCGTCCGCGACGACTTCCACGGCGTCGGGAGATCCTCGGACTCGTTCTCGGGCCCTTCCTCGGCTGCTCCATCCTTCTGCCGTCGAACTACCTTGTCGATTCGCGATTTACAGTCAATTTCCGTACGCAAGCGATTACGACGCACGCGACACGCGACGCCGGGAGCGACTCGCGATCTAGTACTGCGATCTACGTTATCAGCTGTTCAATAGTAAAATCGATTATGATGCCCTATATACGTTGCACGCACACGAAATCATGTAGAGTAGTCAGTGAGATAATTTGGATAACAGTAATAAGCGTGCACGTCGATCACACGTCGAGCTATTACATAACGCTCGCAAATCTCGGATCTACAGACCTTACGTCATTTCTGTATAGAATTTTCCATTCCGAGCGGTTTCATTGCCGTATTTTGTTGAATTTATTTAAGGTTATCCTCGCAAGTGGCAGCGTCGATTGTTGAGGGCGAGCTTTATAATCATTCGATCTACCTCGCAAATCGCACGTAAGTACGCGCGTCCGAGCGTGCACAATACATCCGAGTTTATAGCGTCTAAAGTTTTTTAATTTTCGCAGATAAAGGTTGGCCGGCGGCTTTATGGGGGGCCGAGGGGCGCCTCGTTTCCGCGGGGCCGGATAATGCTGCTTAATTGGCGAGCCCATCATTTCGGACTGGTAATGCTGTTTAATTGGCGAGCGGAAAACAATGCGCCGCGTGCGTTCATTATCCCGGCCGGTGCATTCGGCGGTTATATCGCCGTATATATGAAAAATCGTTCGGGGGAAACGATCTCGTATCCCGGATGACTGGATGTCGATTAAATTGCCGCAGACTGAGTGGCGCGGTGATTGATATCGACTTTGCGAGCAAATTATTACCTACATACGAATTTTATGTGTCGTGCAGTCCGAAATTATCAGAGTATTTTAAACTCTGAAAGCGACATACACGGGCTTTTGCTATTAGAAATTACTATATTAGAAATAAATGACGAACGAGTTATTTTAAACGGAATTACACGTCTCCGGGGCGATGTGTGTCATCAGATAAAAAAGCGAAAAGTATTTTTATTTTGTGCGCGTTTAAGATTTTGTTAAAGATTTTGTTTTATCTCGGTAGCCGGGCAACGCACCGATAATGTGTGAGACCGATATTTGGAATTTAGATAAGCGAGATAAGCGATTATTTCTGTCCGTTTAGTGAACATAATGTGAGTGAGTCTATAAAGTAGATAATGGTATATGAAATCGATAGTATACACGCTCATTTATTTTGTAATATAAAACTCAGTAGTCAATATCGTTTTCTAATGATTGCATTTGTATCGCGTTTGATTCGTGCTTTGTCCTCAATAATCTTTAACAAAGTTTATGTCGTCTATTAAAATTATATTATATGTTTGTATTTTTAAAAAAAGTTTATAAAACTCAGTAGTCAATATCGTTTTCTAATGATTGCATTTGTATCGCGTTTGATTCGTGCTTTGTCCTCAATAATCTTTAACAAATTTTATATCGTCTATTAAAATTATGTTTTATTTTTGTCGAATAAAATTTATTTGTGTATTAACATTTTAACAACCATGTTATAAAAGATTCATCAAAATTGGAATCTTTTTTATCTCCTATAGATATAGTCTGCAAACATTATAGGTCTGTTCCTTACGATTGCAATACGTTGTACTGCTCCTGCATTAAAAATATGAAAAAAATGAAAAAAATATATAAAAGTATATGAAAAAATGAAATTATGTAATTAAATGTTGAACAAAAAAAGAAGAAAGGTAGAAAGTACACGAAGTTATAGAGAACAAAACTATTAATTATATCGTCCGAAGAGAAAGGATATACGAATCAATTGCCTTTCTTCGATTAGGTGTACACGCGTATGGGAGTTGTTTTCCAACTGCGATGGTGGTGTAATGGTTAGCATAGTTGCCTTCCAAGCAGTTGATCCGGGTTCGATTCCCGGCCATCGCAGGGGTTTCTTTTTTGATTTTTCTTTTCGTGAACTTTATACGTAGAGCGGACGTGACAGCTCGGTATGACGTATCGACTGTCATTGCACTGCCATATGTTGGTAAGCGCATAAAAGTTTTATAGCCGTGTATATTAGAGACCGTCATAGGCTTTTTTTTTCAAGCAGTTAATTTGAATTCTCGATATTTGCAAGTACGTTCTTTTTTTTTATTTCGATTTATTCCATCGTCATATTGAATTAAGTATCGTGCATTGGTTCTAAATGCACTCAACTCGCATCTGCGATGGTGGTGTAATGGTCAGCATAGTTGCCTTCCAAGCAGTTGATCCGGGTTCGATTCCCGGCCATCGCTGGGTTAAATTTTTGCCCGTCGTATTAAATCTTTTAATTTTTTTTTATAGTTAAAGTTAAAATTTGCGAGAGCTCGAAATTACTTGGCGTTCAAAAATTTATTATCGATTGTGCGGTTATGAAAATAATTGACGACAAAAATAAATTCCGATACCGGGAATCGAACCCGAGCCTCCTGGGTGAGAGCCAGGTATCCTAACCACTAGACCATATCGGATTGTACATTCGAAGGGTCTCCGATTTTCTGATATAACGTAGTTTAAATATTGTAATAAAATATTTACTAACAAACTGATATAACATTAAAATATTCGTCAGGATTCACATACATTTCAAGATAAAAGTGGTACAATTATTATTTAAATACATTATTAAATCCCCAGTACATAACGCTCGTGTTTTATTTACAGCATGTCACATTCTTTTCAATTGACATTTAAAAAAAGTCCTAAATTTGTCCCCAAAAAATTATAGTAATTAAATTAGGAAATATACATTGTATTTGAGCAATTAGAATCTTTTTACTATTCTTCTAGTCGATGATCGTTTCTTATTTATGTACCAACTGCCGAGATTCGGTTGGTCAGTCGAATGCCTCTCGATCGTCTCTAGTGCCACACCACCACGGCAGAGTGCGGCACTGGCGTTCTCTATCACCCCCACCGCCCGCGTCCATCCAGCCATGTTTGCCATGACTGGCTGACTGGTGACTGTGGTGGTTTATTCTCGGGGGATATGTGTTGTTTGAGGAGTGCGAGTGGTTTTGTAAATTAAACGGCCAACATTGTCCCATCGCGAGTACGCTGCCACAGCATTGTCTCCACGCTCTTTGACAGCCATGCTCCATTTATCGCGCGTCTTTGTGTCAAGTCGGAGAGGATAGTAGACGGCGGGAAGAGGGACACAGTGGTCAACGCCGTCACGTCAACAACGCGCATCGCGCATGACGCGCATCATTTTCTCATGGGATCTGGCAATAGCGTGACGTGAGTGAGGAGCAGGAGCGTCGCACGTTCCGAGCATCGGCAACGTTGGATTTAAACTCGCGCGCGGGCAGCAGCCCAGCAGGAGCCTGGTGCAGGCCAGGGGTACCTGTTCCCCAGTCGCTTGTCAAGCCGTGCACGAATAGCATCATCGTTACCTCGCCACGGCAGGGAGATTACTCCGATTTTTCGAACAAAGAGCACCCGTTCGTCTCGCAAAGAGTCAGCGATTAACCGTCCGTATCGTTAAACGTGTGAAACGGGGACGCGTCTCGACGGAGACGCGAAACAAAGCAGCGGTATCCGCTTGATGAAGAATGGTCAGGAAGAAAGAACCGACCACGGATATTGTTCTCTAGCTCAAACAGAAGCTCGAAAGGATCATCGGTCAAGGAACACTGAAACATGGCGATGTAGGAAGTGCACGAGGGAAAGAGGTCAAAAAGGTAGGAAAGAGAGTAATATAACGCATACATATATATCCCAAATATTCCGAACGCTAATATATAAAAAAAAGACAGTGTTAAAAGAAAAGAGAAATGAGCGTACATACTTATTTTTAAGATCATGCGCCGATGTACGCGCTGAGGAATTGTCAAAAGATAAGATCATCTTCGCCTTATTATACGCAGTAGAGCCAAACATCCGTTACGTGTCCTTCCACCGTCGAGCGAATCGCTTGGCCCGGAGATTTTCGGAGATCATTGAGAGTATTGAGACTCGTTTAACTCGTCCGCGATATTCGCAATATTATTAAAGATAGTCGCAACTTTGAAAGTTTTCGAGTTTCCTTCCCAATATTTCTCGTCGCTATTTTCTATTTTCTGCATTACAGAATGCATCGGAAATTATAATTTAAATAAGAAGGAAAAAATAAAAAGCGAAAAATTAATAATATATTTATGCTTTAATTTTTCTTTTCATTTTAAGCTTCAATTTATGCTCTTGCAACATCGTTGAATTTGTTTCAACAGCGATTATTAATAAATAAATGTACATTCGATTCAAAATACGATTTAAAGTAATTTAAGTCAATAGAGGAACTTCTTAAATAAATTATTCGAATTTACTTTCATCTTTTTTAATCACGCAAGATACGTAGAAGTTTAACAAAAGCATAAATATATTTCAAATTTTCCTACTTTTTTAATTTATAACTTTTAATTTTTTTCAAAAACGTAGAGGTAGACAATAATATCTCTGGATTTTTTTTAATTTATTTTACGACAAATTCCCTCCTTTTCCGATCGTATGTCTCTCTTGAGACACACGTTCATATGCGAAACAAAGAGAAATATAAAGATAAAATTTTACCAGTGACTGAAATGAGATTAAAGATTCTATTGTATACTCACGAATATATTATTCTGTTCTTTAAACACTTTCACGATAGATAAGATAGTAATGCGTTTTCTTGTAAATTAGGGCTACGTGCCAGAAAAATGTTGCTTTTAAAAGTTTTACTAAAAATCTATAGCACACGTAACGTAAATTGTAAATTTTTTATAAAATTTTTCTCGAAAGTAACGATTTAGAATGTAGTCTAAAAATATCTTTTCATGCTGATGATCGATACTCATTTTTAGCGTCAAAATAAATCGCTGATTAAATTTGACGCCTGATTTATGCGTTAATTTTGCTCATGTGATCGAAAACGAAAGGTACTTTTAAGGTGTCTTAGCCCATTTTATCCTAACGGACGACGGTCATTTTTAGAATCATTTCAATCATTCGTGATCACGTGATGCAAAAAAATAGAAAAGAAAATGTCGTCAAAGCATGTTCCTAATGCTGAATGGATCCGCCATTTATAGATAAATTTTCAATTAACTCTCAGTGTAATCTTTCTAAGTTATATGATTCTGGATTCATGTGAAACAATATTTTAAGAAACAGCGACTATTTATTATAAGTTAAAGTTTTATTTTAACTTGTTATTACTTTTATTTTTTCAAATTATGCGATTATATATTTTGTCTGAAAATGATGATTTACAGATAATTAGCGATACTCCACGATATTCTTTTTATATCCACTCTACGAAAAATGAGCATGATCGAGCATCAGAATAAAATGGTACTTTAAGATAACCGATAACTACTGCTTTTGTTTGCGATGTAAATAATTATAAAACTAATTATTTGATATTTTATATTTTAATTCACATTTGTATATACCTATATGTATATATATATAATAAAACAAATGTGAATTAAAATATAAAATATCAAATAATTAGTTTTATAATTATTTACATCGCAAACAAAAGCAGTAGTTATCGGTTATCTTAAAGTACCATTTTATTCTGATGCTCGATTAAAAGATTAAATTAGATAATTAGAGAAAGTTGCATTTATTCTCAAATGTTGAAATTACCTTGTAAAATTGATTAAAATAACAAGTATTTATTTCAGAATTGTACTGAAATTTGTCGAAACTTCCATTGACGAGATTACGAAGTATTGCAAGTTATTTGTACCGTGATTACAAAAATGGAAGTATCACATAGAGAGATTCTCATTCATTTGAGGAGTGAAATAATTGACGATATAGATGTAGATAATGACATTGTACAGCCCTTAAGAAATGAATATATCTTAAGAGAAGACGATGTAAAAACCATTTATGTTGGAGCTACGAAAGAAGAAAGAGCAGGCATTTTGTTAGATATACTACCACAGTACGTATATTTGTATATACCTGTTATATTCGCACAAATTTTATATTATGCAAAAACTTACATTTTTTTTTATTTTAATGTTACCGCACTTATTAATGATAGTAGCAATTATGTCTCACAAGTCATTTTTACAATTTGCATTCTTATTTAACGATGCGCAGCTTACACTGAAAAACTGATTTCATTATAAGTGTTTGTGTTAACATTTTTTTAAAGATGTGGTCCAAATGCTTTCGATGTCTTTCATCAATCATTGAAACATCACTACGATTGGCTTAGCAATGCAATAGATAAATTGTTAGGTAACTGTAAAATAGAAACCAATGGAGAAATAGACTATTATGCTGGGCCCTCCATTCCACCTCATTCTGCATTGACGGTGACGAGAGAGGAAAAGGTAAAAATTCTCTACATATATTACCCAAATGATATGAAGTTACAGAATGATTCATCATTCTAGCTTTATCTCCCAATTGTGCTCGTACTTCCAATGATAAGATAAAATTATGAACTATAAGGTATCGATTATTTGACATTTCATTTACTCCTCCATGCAGATCTCTGGTTACAATATACACATTGCGTTATTGCTATATAAATTTGATATAATCTTTAACAATATTTTTTAATAACGCAAACAATTAAAAAATCAGCTTTTATTAAAAATTTTTGATAAGTAACTCTGTGTCTTAGATATAATTCCTTGTAAGAAAATTTAATACTTATTTAGTTTAACTGTTCCCCTTTATGCATACGTATGGAAACATATATTGTGTAAGTTTACATAAACTTCATCAGTGTTTTTTATTATATATTTACACACATTTTTATATGCACTAGTGGCAGATTTTAAGCACACTAAGCGCATGCTTTTATAATTAGATATTAGTTCTCAAATCACGCTATCCAGCAGCCTTAAAGTGCTGAAATTTGTCATTGTATTGTACCGTGTTAAATAATATATAAAATAAGGACTATTTATTATATATTGCATTATGTTGCAGGTTGAGCAGTTAAAAGTAGCTTTACAACGATTAAATCCTGCAGAATACATTGCGTTACACGGCATGAAAGGATTTGGAAAATCATGTCTAGTTGCCAGTACTCTCAAGGACATGAAATTAGTGAAAGATTTATTTTCTGTATGATATTTTTCATTTGTTACATTACATATAAGATCATAATGTCAGAATTTCATTTTACTTAAAAAAATGTTTATTTTTTTATTTTAGAATCAGGTCTATTGGATTCAATTTTCATGTAATCGTTCAATCGAGGAAGAGATATTAATTCAATTGAACTCACTCTATCATAACGTGAGAAATTTAGAAATCCAACCTGAATCGTTTACTCCATTCGAGAGAGAGTCCCTGATCCAATATTTGAAACATTATTTTAATAAACGGGATAATTGCAATGCTTTACTGATTCTGGATGATGTTCATGACGAACAGATCATTAACACTTTTGAGTTTAAATGTAAAACTCTAGTTCTCACTGCTGATGTTGATGTTCTGCGTAAGAAACGACCTCAGATAATACAGGTAATATTCTTTATTTTATTTGTAATTTTTATATATTTCATAAATTAAACAGGGGCTACGAGCCTGAGCTAGGCATTTAATGCTCAAATAATAAGTCAATTTACATGAAATCTGTGAATTAAACAAATAACATTTAAATGTGGAACGCTTCACGTTTTTGCGTGTCATCCATAACGTATAGATCAGATAACACGCAACATCGTTGAGCGTTTTACATTCGAATGTTGTTTGTTCAATCACACATTTTATGTAAATTGACTTATCATTTGAGCATTAAATACCTAGCTCAGATTCGTAGCCCATATTAAATTTATTAATTTTGTTATTTTGTTTTAATTTCGTTTGTAATTTTGTTTTATTGGGCCTTTAACTTATTATTTTTATATATTTCTTCTGAATTCTTCTACTCTTGTCAGTGACCCCCTCATTGTATTTCTGCGGTGTGCGCCTATTATATTTACGATTTACGTTACGCAGATATATGTTTTAACGCCGGTTTAATGGCCTTATAACTAATTAGAGGAGTTCTTATGACAAGATATACTCTTGGAAGGCAATGGTTTGCCATTGCTTTCCAAGAGGTAGCGATCGAATTAAAATCCGATGGTTTCTGGTTGGATTTGAACTCGGGTTTTTGGCATAGAGAGCAGACGCACAACTCTCTGCGCCACGATCGCTACAATTGTTATGTATTGAATTATATATGTTTATTATACTGTTTATAATAATAAATAATGTTACTTTCAGCTGAACGATGGATTTACAGAAGCAGAGACATTAGGCTTATTTGCCAAAGCATTGAACACAGACGTCAATGCATTACCTTTAGAAGCAAAAAGAATACACGAAGAGTGTAAAGGAATGCCGTTGCTGATAGCTATGTTTGCTGCGCAATTCGAGGAATTTAAAGAAGACATGAAAATACGTCCTGACAGATGGAGATATTACTTGAGATCTTTGAGGAACAGGGACGCAACAAACGAGTATGAATATTATATATTATATTAACTTCTAAATAAAGCATCGAATATTAAAACTAATTTTGCTATTATTGTATTGTGTGTTACAGAGTAATGAGAATATTTCTGGAAAAACAAGAAACTATTTTTGATATATGCATTGGACAGTTAAAACCAGTTTTGAAGCAACATTACGAGAGCTTAGTTATTTTTTGTGAAGATGTCAACATAAATCCGAAGGTATATATGATAACATTTATTATTAACTCGATGCGCAATTTTTCACGCACACATCATTAATTATATATCGGTTTGATATTTTTAGACTCTAGAAATTTTTTGGGGACAAGACATATTTAAAGTCGAAGAAATGATGTTGGATTTGTGCCATAAATCACTTGCAGCAAAAAAGTGGAATAAGGATTTAGAAAGCTATATCTACGGTGTGCACGACTTATTGCTATGCCATCTCAGAAAAAGACGAACTCGTGACGATCTGATGCAGATGCACGAGTCCATTATTGACAAATATCGCGAATATTGCAACGATGATTTTTCAAAATTGCCGGATGATAATTACATTTACTTGTACATTGGCTATCATTTGGAGCAAGCGAACTTGATCGACGAATTTCCACGTCTTTATTTAAATTTCGATTTCGTTCAAGCCAAACTAATATATGCGGGTTTGAATGATTTATTGCTGGACCTGAGAAAGTATAGGCAACACATTACATTGGGCTATACACAAGACTATGTGAAAAAGGTTGATGCTTTGGAAAGATTTCTTCACGAGCAAGCAAGCGTTATAGTGGAACATAAACGTAAGAAATGCTTGGATATCATTCAAATTGCGATGGACCACCCGCATCAAGACTACGTCGCTCGGACTGCAAATAATCTAGCTATGACAAGACGAGAGTACTTGTATCTATCTCACAATAAAAGTCTTCAATATGCCAAGGCATTGACCGAAGAAATATCGACGGATAACATTTGCACAGCATCTTTCACAGACGATCCTGAGTTGATCTTGGCAGGGAACAGATCGGGTGAAATATTATTGTTGAATTCCCGAACCAAGCAACAAAAAGTCTTTAAGCAAAGTCGCAGCAAGGAATATCCTATTGTAAAAGTTATCGTATCCTCGGATGGTGATTGTTTCTTATCGTTAAACAGTGCTGGCATAATAAAGTTATTTCATCTGTTTACTGAGGATGAAATGCGTAATCAGGATTTGGACGAAATGCCCGTCGACAGTCCGCGACAGAAACAAAAATTCTGGTCTAACCTTCTTGCCAACTCGAACAATCAGGACGATAGTTTAGCGACATTCCAAGTGGGAGATGAGACCATATTGGATATGGCATTTGGCCACGAGGACAAATACATCGCTGCATGCACTAATAAAGCGACGATTCAGGTATTTTAATATCTTAGATGTTTTTACGAAACAAAATACTTTTTATTTATTAACATATTATTGGCCAATAAAATTTTGAATATATGTATATGATATATTGTTCATATTATTTAAATGTGTGTAATGTTTCTTTTTCCTTTTTTTTTTAGATATGGGATCGAGATGGAAATACAATGTTTGAAGAAAGAAATTCCAAATAGTAAGTAGAATTATATGTATATATGAATCGATTTAGGGATAAACGTGTGAATAAATAAGTAACATGGCATGCATTTGTTACAGTCAGTATATACCGAAAATAGCTTTTACGGCGGGGACACATTCCTTACTGCACATAATGGATGAGCCAAACGGTGCTTTCGTCTTGTATAAGAAAGAGAATGATTGTACCACTTATGAATATCATGCCTGTTATAATCTGCAGTTGAAATCCGCATGTGAAAAGGTCATCTTCTTTCATTACATACCCAACCGTGAAAATTCGTTGATGATCGTTACCAAGAAGGAAGCTATGTACGTCAAATGGTGGTGGAGTCAGGGCTGTGTGCATAGTTTCAACAAGCAAACGAGAGCGTTTGTCGATAAGGATTCAGTAACTTACGAATGCGCGACTATCACATACGATGGTGAATATATAATTTTGGCTGATTCCGAGGGTTACATAAATGTATGGAATACCTATTCCGGATATGCACCGATCGCGGTTTACAAAAGTCGCGTCAAATCTTTGGATTCTTACTGGTTAAGAGACGAAGATTATCATATTGTACGTATTATTATTTTATTATTGCAATTACACATATATTTAATTAAATTCAAAATTATCTTTGAAATAAAATAAAATTTTCTTTCAGATATGTGGAAACGATGATACAGCATTATATAAATGGAAACTTCCAGTACAAGAGTCAGATAAATTACCGAGGTAACTAATAGTTTGATCTAATATTAAGAATACTCTATATATTTGTTTTATTTTTTTTTTAATTTTATTAAATGATATAATACAAACTTTCTTTGTTATTAAACTAGGAAGTGTTTATTTGACGCAATTGTATCGTCTGACACAACGGATATTGTAATCAAAGAGAGCCCTTCAAAGAAAATTATAATGTCACGTGGAGAAGATATACAAGAATATGAATATACAGAAGGAAAAATATTGAATCTGCAATTGTCCGCCGATGGAACCATGGCGGTGTATGTTACAGATAATCAAACAATTTGGTTGTTAGATATAAATACTGGAACAGTAACATTTGTCGCAGTATCAGACACGCCAATCCAGTTTGTAAAAATTATCAATCTTATTGAATGTAACAGGATATTTTGGCAGGAGAATATTTTGAAGGTGTGTATATTAAATTTTTTGTTTAAGTTTTACTTTTTATTTCTCTTCTTTTTTGCAAATTGTTCCTTTTTAATTTATTTATAATTATAATTTTAATTATTAGACGTAGACCATAATTTATGTATCCAGTTAACTTAAAATTTGTTTCTGGCTTCCCCATAGTGAAATAATATTTTTCCACTATAAATTTTTTTGCGAGATAACGGATGTGATAATCAAAATGTAGCCTTTTTGCTTGATAAACAATTTACCACTAACTTCCCTGAAATTAATCTATTTAAATTTATAAATATTAAACAAATTTAAATGTTTTGATTAATATGTCAACAGATGTGGCAACCTTCCGGACGGAGCATTGAAATTCCAACAGACTCCGTCAATGATATTCACATAATAAACAAATTTGCTGTAATAGTAACGCAGGGTGGCATAATAACAACATGGGCTACAGCGATTAATAGAAAGTGGAGACAATTAAACGAAAGAAATATGTCTGATACGCTTTCATATGTTACATTTAGCTGTTTAACAACTTACAAACAAAAAACTTATTTGGCGATTTTGAATAAATCGCATTGTTTAACTTTATTTCATATTTATGAAGAAGGGAACAGTATAAACATACAATTCTGTTTTACGCATAGTTTTGCACAGAAGACGACTTGTTGTGATATTTCAAAAAATACAGATTATATCGCCGTTGGCTTTGAATCAGGACAAATTTCTGTAAGTGTTTCATGATCAATTAATGTTATGCGTTATAAAAATATACGAATTCAATGTCGTCCATTTTTTTTGTTTTCAGATTATCGATAGACAAAAACAGATGGAGGTCACTCAGTTATCTTTCCACGCTAGTCCCATCACCCAATTGTATTGGGCTCCAATTGAGATAATCGTGCCGATTTTATTCTCATTGACAAGCGATGAATTAGCTTTGTGGAACGTTGCTCTGGCGATGAATAACACGAAAAAAATGCAGAAGAACGTGAGAAGAAGTCGAATGGGCATTAGCCACAGTACAAGCACTCCTTCCTTCGAGATGAATACACTTTCGAATCTATGCGTACCTAACAGCCGAAGCGTAGATGCTGGTGTATCTGATCTACAAGATGACAACTGTAACCTCCGACACGTTAACAATATAAGTAGATATTGGAAGAAAAAGATAGGTAAAAATCCGGAAATACCAGAATTATTAGCGGTTGTCGAATTACCACCAAATCGTGAGCCAAAAGTATGTATCTCTCCAGATTTCAGTAAATTTGTTATCGTTGACATGTACGGATCTGTTAATACGTTTAAACTGATTGATTATAATCAATTTTCCTAGGCTAATTATAGAATGAATTTAGAATGCTATATTGCATTACAATATAGGATTATAAAACTTTAAAAAAGTTAAAAAAAATTGAAAGAAAAAAATGATAGCATTGTTTATCCATAACGTATAATGCTTTGACAGAAAGTTGCAGGCTTGATGTACAGTGACAATTACGATTACAAATACAATGGTACAATTACGCAGATTCTATTAGAGATGCACGAATCAATGTGTCATCTTAATGAAATATATATATAGATATATATATTAGGAGACATATTTTATATTGCCACTTTGTGCTCAGCTGATGAAAAATATCTATTTATAGCAATGTCTTTTACTGCCACTTGCATTTAACAAGAGATTAACGCCAATTTTCTACGTATGTAAAACTGACTTTTTCATACATTTTTTAAGGTAAAATTTTTTACTATATATAGAAACAGAAGTACTATTAAAATGTATTATAAAGAAATAGCTGGATCGTATTGTATACAGTCTGTCATGAGTTTGCGTGAGCGGTTACTCATATTATCTTAAGCTTTTTTATTTTATCAGAGTTTCTTATTTCTATTATTTGAAAAATCATTTTTAGGTTAGGTAACTTTATACCTAATGTCGTTATTGCTCCGCTATTGAACCACTATCGAGAAACACAGAGAAACATTACCGGGCAATAATTGATAATAAGAGACTGATCTGAAACGCTCGCATACTCTTGCATAACAGACTGTATGTATTTGTGCCATCCGTCAAATCTTAAACAAATATTTCAAGTGGCCAAAAATGTATATTTTGAAATGTTAAGATGCATTTCTATACTTGTGCATTATCTGAGCATTTATAAATTCTAGAGTGCTTTCTACTAGACACAGTATCTCTGTAAATATTAGTTTGATCAAGTATTAGGGTTATTAATGCATTTTTCGAAGTTAGATCAATTTTGTACACAGGTTGTGTATTTATAGAAATAATTGCTGGTTTTTAGGAGAAATTTTTAATAATTCTTGCGTACGCTGAACTTGCGTACAACGAACAAATAATAATTAAGACACATGAGTAAACCAGTGATTGGAAGTAACTCGTTACTTATTATTATTAGTTATTTTTTTGGTAACGATGTTACTTTTTTTTAAATAACTATAATGATAACGTTACATTTTTTCAGTAACTAGTTATTTTTAAAAAGTAAGTAAATTTTCATTCCTTGATAATATATGATAATATTTAAATAAATTTCCTCCCAAAAAATTCTAAAATATAAAAAATTAATAGAAAAAAATTAATTTACTTTATATGTATTTATATATTATACCAAATTTTTTCTTATATATTATCAAAGTTATCGTTATTAAAGATTCTGTTACCTGTAACTACATTTCAGATATAATTTTAAAAGAAGTAAACATATAACGTTAATATTAACTTTAAACAACATATTTAAAATATGTATGCAAATACTTGAAGTCAATCGTATTGATATGTAACAGTGTAATATGAAGTATGTCAGAAATGTAATAGATGAATAACCTTCTTAAGTATTGTAGTATTTTTATCAAATACTTTTTAAATACGTTGTTTTTTATATTAATATTAAAAGTGAAACTAAGACTGATGAGCATGACATGAATTATGCTGCATTCATGAATTATACTGTATCCATCCAGTCAATGGTTGCCATTTATGGATAATATGTACATGTAATGTAACAATATTATGTGAAATTACTACGTAAAAATCTTCGATAGAAAACATTGTAAACTACAATTACCTATAACTTATGTGCCTTATGTCTTACGGACATGTAAAATAATGTAAGATAGTATAATAATGGAGCGAAGAAAAATAGTATAAAAATCACAAAATTTTATATCCGTATAGTACTTTAAAGACGTGTGATATTAAATAACGTCTTTACATCAAAGCTCTATTGTGATTGAGACTTTGCTCCATTTATTCTACTTAATCGTATTTAATTTTATGCTCGAAACATAAAAAAAAATCGGAAAAGGTTTAGCAAACACTAGATAGCGTATCATAATTATATGAGAAGTCGCTATTCTTTATTATCGCTTTTTATATCAATTCCGTTTTTTTTATTACTATCTACTTTTATATATGTATGCTAGCTTTTCAATCCCCTCGACTCTCTGTTGGCGTCGTGAAATAAAACGTGGCCGAGTCACTGAATCTCGCCGAATTATCACGCCAACAGAAAGTTGAACTTTAGTTGATCTCATACATATTTTTCTACTTTCGTACATAAATCTAGAGGAAGTTATAGTAACTACACATCTCAGTAAAAATCCTAGACGTATACAAGACTGTAATACGCATTTACACACGTATATCTCTTTTTCTGTAATTTACATGTCAAATCATATCTAGTTCGAATGTCCCGCACGTTATAATAACTATAACAGATCAGGTTACGTAAAAAATTTATTATGACACGATTGGCAGGATGCTTCATTTGTTTCATTCCAATGATAGATTTTAATGGTTATATAATCATTCATATCTACGAATTTGTTCGTCGAGTTGACGAAAAGTATTGCATAAATGTAAACAAATGATAAGTTATTCAAAAACAGCAATTAACTGCAATATTAAGCGGTGCAATTATTTATGTATCTCTAATCAATTGTTTCAATCGTTCATATTTTATATTCTGATATCAAGCTCAATTTTTTTAATTGCGTTTTATTTGTACGATTATTTATAATGTCTGTACTTTGAATACACTTGTTATGAAAATATGCAGGTATAATAAAAATTGTATACATACGCAACAATGTGCTTCTTATGCGACATGTCCTTTCTCATTCCGTCGATTTGTATGATATACATAATTTAATAATAAGTTTTAAAAGTAATGTAAATTAGTAGAAGTTATCTACATTATTATTTCCTCTTCGGCATATTTACAAATATTTTTTATATATTCGAAATTATATAATCATCTCTAAAACCGGTACTTATATTACAGAACAAATACACCATGTTTTATTAATAGAGAATTAAACAGGCGTAAGAGAGAAGTCTGGTCGACTTGGCGAAGATCCGAGTGTCTGATTTGGAACTCTCGGCCAATGTCAGCGGATATACTTCCGCAAGGTCGTTTATTGAAGTTTTCCTGAACCAATTTGATACATATGTACAGCGAAGTTATACAATCAGATATGATTACTTACAAAAAAATATCATTTATGTTTTAAATTTTTAAAAAAACCTTTTATGTTTTTTTCATTCTTCATTTTTTATTGTAAATTGTATTTAGTGTAAATAACACGATCTTATTTAATATTTATCTCTGCAATTAGCATTTATGTTAAGTAAGTTTCTTTCATCGAAATGTATCAATTATATGACGAAAATCTATTTATAATATGCGCGATGATTGAGAAGTATACTGATTTCTTACTTTATTATAATATTTAACATACACTAAATTAAATTTTAAATAAAATATTTAATATTTACAAATTTCAATATCAAATTTGATGAGCTGATTTGCTCATATATGTATACATTTTTAAACTTTTTAAAGCCACATTGAAATTGGTCTCGTATTTTTCTTGAGCATAATTGTGTCTGTAAGTTACATTTACATCTTGGAATTTAACGAAAAACGCCTGCGAAAAATAGAAAAGTATAATTTCTTTCAAATTTGCGCTTCTCAACGAAAGTCCGTACACAAACTTTCTATCGTCATCTATATTTACGCGTGAGGTCAGCATCGCAGCCACCCCCGTCATTTTGGTAGCAGCATCGCGTTTGCGGCCGCGTCGCATCGTAGGTCCCGTCGGTCGCGATAGGAAATATTTTAAGTCTGGCGCGTGTACACCTCCAACCTCCGACGCGGTCTGACAAAACGGGGAGCCTCTACTAGTATCGGCGCGCGGCGAGAGGAACGAGGGGAGCGCAACCACGCGAGCGTCGCGACCAATCCGCACAGTGCACACTCGGCGTTCTCGGTTTGCGGCGCGCGGATGCCGTGTACGATCGTATCTCCGCCGCTGACTACTTGCCGCTATTCCGCGATCGCGCGTTCGATTTCCTCGGATTACACGCCGAGTCATCCGCGTCATCCGCCGAGTCGACGACCGCCCTCCCCGACGTCCTAGCCATGTCGGTGATCTACAAGAACTCGATGAACGCCATCGGCAAGTTCGTGCCCGGGAGCCTGCAGCCTCTGTGGAAACATCCAGCTGGTTAGTAAAAGCGGTCGATCGTCGCCGTCGGGTCGCCGAGCAGGTGGCACGTGCCGTGAGTAGCGCGTGTGTGGTACGTGCGCGTGACGTGACGGGCTGATTGCGAGAGAAACGCGCCGGATGTGACGTGTAGATAAATGATTTTTTTCTTTCTGCCCGAGATCGGTGATTTAAAGCAAGCCCGCTTTGCATCTGATTTTCTGTTCTCCATCCGATTGTGGTATTTTTCAATTTCGAACATAATCACCACAAAGTAATTACTTCTTTAATTAATTAATTCTTCAATATATGAATTAATTCTGAATTAATTCTCCAATATATTTACCAGATTTTATTATTTACGGCCGTATATATACCGTGGTAAATTTAATACGCGGAAATGGGTTGTCTCTATAGTCTTATCTCGTTGTTTATCGCAAACATTTTTCCCGCATGTTGATATCGTAAGACTCGGCGACTTGCCGATGGTGCGCGAAATAGCACAAACACACCCTGCTGTTTGTAATGCAGTTTCCTCGAGGTCGCATTCTTAAATTAAATAGTTCACGTATATTCTGCAGTCTGAATTAATGAATGTCGCTTCAATTTCCATATCGCGATTTATGTCCCTCTTTCTCACCTACACGTGTTTTCGTATCATGTTTATTCAATCGCGAGACGCCCGAGGCTCATTGACTCGGCGATATTTTCAACCTTGGGAACTACTTAAAGACCATTTAACATTTCGCAATCTTATTATCCCAGACTGATCTACAAGTTCACGCATATCTGTTACTCTACAAGCACACGAGATCGAAAGGAAGATAAACACAGATTGCCGATAAATCGTTCGTAGAATTATATCGCAGTGACTAGAGAAATAGATAATATTAAATTTATCTTGTTCCACGGAAATGCGCGTAAACTTGCAGACTGATTTGATATCACGATTTCTCGTGTATTTTTAAGACGTTCACTGATATCAATATTATATATATTGTACATACTTATATAGTAATCTGTGTGTGTGAGATAAATTATTCTATACTAGCTTTGGCTGCGTTTCAAGATTAAATAGTATATTGACGTGATATAGTATATCAATATATAACGATTATTATTAGATACAAGTTCTCGAGCCATATAACCGAAAAATATCGATATTTATTTATTCTATGATCTCTATCGGGTTGCCCTATTTTCCGCCAACGTGCCTCTTCGCGTAGCTGCCAAGCCAGAGACGGGGGCGGTCGCACCTTCACCGAATTGTAATATATGAGTGGAAACGAGGCCGCGCGGCATCATGTCTGTGTCAAAGTTACTCCGACGAATTTACTCAAACTATCAGAGCGGAAGCTTGAATAGCTGGAGCGAACAGTGTCAAGGGTATATACACACACCTTGCGGCGGGGAACTACACGCTCTAGCCAGTGCTGGCGCATTGATTACCGTGATTACGGTGGAACTGTACTTTGAAGCCAGCTGTCTTTTCTGTCTATTTATTTTTTTTTTGTATTTTTATTTCGACAGCATAGGAATATCTTTTGTAGGAATATATTATTCATTTTGTTATTAATTTCTGCGAACGTCGAGCGTCTTGAAAAAAATTGTATGCAAGCTAATTGAATGCGAAACTAAGCTAAAAAGCCTTAATTGTGTCCATTATAACGCGCTCCTCCGTAATTCACGTCGATTGCGTGTATTTTTTTAGGTCCACAAACCATCTTCTTCTGGGCACCGGCCTTCAAATGGGTTAGTAACAATGTTCTCACTCTTTCGATATCGGTATTGTCGACCCGTAACTCCTAACTCTGATAAGTTAATCGACTAACAAACGAATGGAAAAGATACAGTGCACTCAAACAAACGTTATATAAACACGTTATAGAATCATAAAGATAGGCTTTCATAACGCATCTTCAATTTGAAGCTTTTCTTTCAAATTTAAAATGCGATTCATTCTTACGTGTCTAGAGCTTTTCTTTTTATTTATTTATTTTTTTTTAACATCGTAAGATATCACGCGATTGAATAATAGCTTGCATGCAGTACGTAATTTTGCTTCAAGGTAGTTGCTACGTAATGTATGTTGGCAAACGAACTCGTTATACAGGAATAACTCCAAATGCTTTGTTCATTCGTGCTATAATCATTTACTACATGTTTAATGTGATCATTTTCAGAAACGAACAAATATATACGTTTTATATTTTTAAAAACATTTTTGCGCATGAAATCTCATTTTATCGGACATTTATTTTAACAGGGTATAACGTTTAATTATTTATTGCACTATATAAAGCGCGGAAGTAACGTAAATATAAATAAATAATATAAATTCAATGTATATTAAAAAAGGCGGAATGATTTATTCGGTTACCGTTTTACTATTTATATCGGCACATTGATTTTGTAATGGGAATATCTTTTTTATTTACGTATGTCTGCAAAAAAATATTTAAAAAAATATAAACTTAAAGCGAAAACGTTGTAGTATTTATAAGATTCGTCGATTTTCATTTTACAGCGCGCGCGCACACACATTTGCGCGCGTGCACGTGCGTAAAAGTAACGATAAAGATTGATGTGGCAGAAGATATTATGTAAATCACTCTTTCTGCAATTTGTAGGGTCTCGTAATGGCCGGCATCGGTGACTTGCAGAGGCCAGCGAACAAAATCTCCGTCAGCCAATCTTGTGCCTTGGGCATCACGGGGTTAATATGGACCAGATACTCCTTAGCCATCACCCCGAGGAACTGGAATCTCTTTAGCGTGAACCTCTTCGTCGCGTTTACAGCTATATACCAAATAACGAGATCCCTGAGGTAATTACCTTGACGCAATTCTCACACAGGTCACACCGTAAAATTATGTAAGATCCATCCAGCAGCTTCGACATTTTCGTTTCTATACGAATATTCCTATTACGCTATCGTTGTTTTTTTTTTTAATAATTTAAATATTCTCAATAGAAATATTCCAAATCGTATAGAAACGAGTCTTCGGTTTATTTTTCTAAAATAAAAATCTTGCTTCTGAGAATCAAAGCTGTCGTAGGAATTAAGCGAGTCCGTCATTTTCCTGTTTTGCCTCCATGGCTTTTTTTGCATAATTTATGTTGTTTGATATCGCGACTCCGTCTCCAGCTACTTTCCGAGGGTTTTACCGAATTAATATTTGTCCCAGGTATCAGCGCCAGCAAGCAGCTTTGGAGGCAACGAAGGAGGCGATCCCGTCAGACGCAGCTCACTGACGATAACTGTATATATAGATAGACGTACATTCCTAGGAAATGGAAAAAGGAATATTTAATTCCTCGCTACTTCGCGTTTCGTGAAACGTTTATGTTACTGTTTAGCACGTCGGGACGAGTAGTCTAGGGACGTGACGTCTAGCATATTCGATCAATATGCTTTAATGACGATCGAAAAAATTGAAAAGGTAGATTGGCGATACATTGTAATATAAAATTGGTTCAAACTTTTCTAATCATGAAAACATCACGTTCGATCTGTTCGCGGTCGGGCTCGTAGCACGTATATTCTTTGATCAATTAACAAATTAATGTTTCTAAAAACAAGGTGATATTTGATTGACGTCTCGACGATTTTTCAAATGTCTTTATGCGATATCTGTTAGACGTCCAGATTGAACGTATAGCGATTTTTAAGGTCGATTGAATTTCCTGATGCCAAACTGTGATACGTGACGCACGACGTAATATTATTCAGTTCGGATACGATAAATGAATATTATAAATACTAGATAGATAAAGAAAGTACAACTGTACAGGGCACAGGAGTCGAGAACGAGTCGGGTGTAATATAGGCACCGCGCGGATTCGACGTATCGTGCACGCCGTATCGGTCGCTATCAATCCACCAACGCCTGATTGTACCTATATATATATTTGACCCGTTGCGCACCACGTGCGTTCTACGTATAACTGTGCCCACGCGGTGCTCCTGCATGACATATCGACGTTACGTGTTATAAAGGGTTTATAACGTGTCACTATCGTAAAATTTTAAATTAACATTGTTGTAACTCCCTCGCTCCGATCAGAGTTGAAATAAAACTACAGATATTTTTAACGTCCACTGCGTTGTGAAATCCGTATATGCAACTGTCGACCGTGATCGAGATTCGCACTTCGACATTTCAGCGCGATAATAATTGCCGGAAGGTAAGAAATACATATTCGACATTCGACCTGTGTGCAGGTGCTACGGACAGTGGTAAGTTATCGGACAAGTACGTAAAGCTGCTTGTTGTACACGTGACTCTGAAACGTCGGACCCGACGTCCCCGCTTTAATAACGAGAATAATGCGCGCCTCCTGTCCTCGCCGAACGCGCTGAGCACACAGATATTTCGCGTCGCCTCGATCGGAGGATCAAAGGAGAGGATAGACATCCCGTCTGATTAATGGGTTTCATCACGTTTCCGTGACGATGCCGATGTGTTGCTGTTCGGCAGGAGATTGTCATGTCACGGGGATTAAGAAGAGATATTACAGGGAGAAATTACATTTGACAAACGCCATGTAGCTATATATTAGGTTTACAGATTCACTCGCATTATCGTTCGTGATTAAATTTTATTAATCTATTAATTAAATCTCTGTGAAATATGAGTATATAATACCTTAAGTCGTTGCTAAATCTATCATTCATTTTTTTAAAAATGTAGCGCGAAGATACAGCTATTTTTGTAGTCGATAATTTTTGCTATTGGTGCTCAAATCCATTTTTTTTTTTTTTTTGAAAAATATTTATATAGAAGGTATTGCAAAATATATCGAAAGTCGTTATTTATTAATGAGAATTTGATTTCCCAAAGGGGATTTAAACTTTCAACTTCAAACTCTATTATAAACTCAATTAAAATTTTTTTAGGATACCATGTAACTTTGGTCGAAGATTACGCTTTTGAAGTTTGTCACAAATTATAATTAAAACACGTCGTAGGGACGGCAATTTATTTTCTCATACACGTGTCTCCTGATAAAGACGAGCTACTCCCAAGAGTAAAGATCCCGTCTCGATATGTAATAGACGTATTCCCGGCATTATTATTCATGAAGAAAGTATATGAAAAAAAAAAAAACGTGACAATAATAAGAAACGTAGACAGATCTCCGTCATCAATCTTGCCGTTATATCGGTAGACTTCAGATTTATCAGAATTCTCTCTCAGTGTCGCTCGGTGCGACATACCTCCCCCCCCCCCCC